GGGGGGGGGGGGGGGGGGGGGGGGGGGGGGGGAACCAACCACCACCTCCAAGATTTATTGGAAAAGATCTGGAAAAGAGTTCCTTGCTCGGCAATATCGTACATGGTTTCAAAGCATTAAACAATAAGAAATGTCAGGCTCTTCGCAAGGAAATTCAGAATCCCCAACCGCAGGGATGCCTTTATAACTGGAGTTAAGAACGGTGACCATGAGGTTAAAAAAATAAATAAATCTACAAATTGGACCAGCCGCTATCCCAGTGATGGTGGACCTTTTGTCCCTCAGGGGCTGAAAGAACACGTGCGTGCATGCACGCCGATACCCATAATTCAATGCCCCCTGCAGCTCCACCGCTCCCCTTGCACATGTACGGACAACCCCTAGTTTGGTGCTAGCAGGCCTCCCTGAAGCCTCCTGGGACCAAAAACGGGCTGTGGAGGGGCACACCGTACCCTCCGCCCAGTTTTTTGGCCCTGGAAGGCTTCAGGGGACGCCTGCTAGCACCAAAACGCATACATGCGTCTCTTAGCAGAGACCCGAAAATCAGCTGGCTGGCGGGAGGCGTGTACGTATGCGCAGTGGAGCTAATCTGGGCCACAGCTTGCATGCCCGCAGAGATGGCTCCGTGTGCCACGCACGCCATCGGTTCGCATGCCATCCCCTATCTAGGCCATCTCAACGTCTTTTGGGAGGCCGTACCTCATTAGGACATGACCAGAAAAATATCTGGAGAAGCAAACGGGCCAACGAGGAACCATTAAGACAGCTGTCTCCACATTCAAGAACTCTTCAAAAAACATATGAGCTGGGACCTTCCAATTTGGCGTCCCATCAACCCCAAAAGTCCCCGAGCCACATCTGGAAAGACTGAGCAATGCCTGCCTCTCTCAGGTGAACACCCCGATGTTCTTTCCTAAAGTTTGCTTGGCCCGTCACGCTTCTCGCACACTTGGCGGTGCCCCGTCTTCGCCCTACTGCACAGTGACACCTTCCGAACCGCTGGTTTTATATAGTTTTCTCTCTTGCCGAGAGGGGGGGTGAGGGAGGGAGGGAGAGAGGGGAAGTTGGGCATTTAGCAACAGAGGAAGGAAACCAGTCGAAAAGCATCAGCAAAAAATCCTCCGTGGAGGTAGCTTTTTAAAAGAGCCTGCGGTGAATGGACTCGAAGGGAAGCGGGCCGCGTGAAGTGGTGCCCCATTCAGGATATCAAC